CTCTTGAAATTCATTAAAATCCAGCCCAGGCCTCGGTAGCAAGAACACCTGGCTGGTCCGTGAACCCTTCTTGGTCTGCGATTCCCACCTCTCTCTATCTCCTTTCCCCCACCTGCTGCTTCTGGCTTCTCTCTTTAGTGAACGCCATTGCAGGAAGGGAAGAGACTCCCTTGTAGCAGAGGAAGGCTGGCATAAACCAACGGGCACCTGGGAGTGTCACCAGAGTGTGGTCTGGATGTGGCAAGCCTAGACAGGACTTCTGCCTCCATTTGCCCATCCGTTAGGCATTTCAGAGTTGCTCGCCAGCTTCCAGCTGACGGCAGACCTCTCCAGTGCAGGGCACAGGCTCCGGGAGGAGCTTGCGTTGAGTCTTTCTGTCAAGCCAGACTGAAAGGGACTCTGGGTCCATTTGAAAGAGCCGGGATTTAATGCAGCAAGCCGGTTCCAGCTCAGCGAGCTGCATGTTTTCTTATGTGCCTGTGCGCTCGGGGCCTCCGAAGGCAGCTGCCCGCAAAGGGCGTCATGAGTAATACAAAGGAATTGGCAGCGAGGCAGAGGGGTAAATAAATCAAGCACAGGTCGATGCATGAATCCCAGCTCAGTAAGTCTGGCGGCTAAGTGGCCGGAGACACTGCTTCCTGTGAGCTCTGCTGTCAGTGCAGGCAGTAAATTAGCAGTGCTTAGAAGATCAGACTACACAGTGGAGGCAACATGCAGGCTAATCAGGCCCGGGGGATGTGGGTGGAACAAGGTAGAATACTGTGTATTATTTAAGCAGGTCATTTCCATTTACTAGGTAAAATCCAAATGGCTTCGCTGTGTGTCATAGGCCTTCTACTGCCAATTGCTAATGGTGATTCTCCTTTAAAGAGTGGGGCTTCTACTGATTTTCTAGCAGTAGGATCTGAGTTCTTTCCCTGCAGTGGCTATTGAGTTCAGAGTGGCTGTCATGTGCCACATAACAGCACCTGTGAACTAAGAGAGAGCCATGGGTTTGTTACTAGAAATGTGGCAGACCATGTGAATGTACAGCATGCTGACTTTCAGTGGGCTCTCAAAGTAAAATTCATGGGGCTTATGTATCCCTGGGGTAGCTCCATTGATTGTTTCCAGCCAGCGGAAGGCTATGATTGCTCTGTCATTACATTTGCTTAAGCTCACTCTCATGCTTCCGGGCACGAGCAGGTTAGCGCAGGGGTCAGGTAGGAATTTCGGTCCCTCATGCACAGCATTGTAGACGTACTGAGACACATTTTTAGAGCCTTTCCTTCTTCTGTTGTAGTGCAAGTTCTTGTGAGCCACCCGTCCGAACTGCTTTGGCACTGCAGAGTTTGTGTTCACCCACGTGTGTGATTTTCAGAGTGAGTTGGCGTCCATCAGGTGGGATTGGTGTGGAGAAGAGATGCCATCTCGAGATTGGTGGTGTAGCACTCGGTGTTTGGATGACTCGCAGATCAGGGCAGGCTGTGAGGGGCTCAGCCGTTGCAGTCCAATACCCGCGGGACAATTGTAGCCCAGAGTGAGGCTATCAGAGAGAGACAGACAGACAGACAGACACGGAGTTTCAGAACTGGGCAGAGAACTAATTGACTGGAACAAGCTGATCCAACAGCTCCCATAGGAGAGAGATGTTTTTTCCAGCCACTTACAGCAAAGGACACACCTACACCCCACCAATCAGAGCAGAGGACAGAGATGTCCCACCAATCAAAGGAGAGGACACCCAACATTCCACCAGTTAGAACAGAGGATGCCCACCCCATCCACCAACCAGAGCAGAGGGCCTTAAAGAATGTCACCAATCACGTAATTGGTCACTCCCACATTCTGACTCCTTACTCCTCCCACCCTCACAATGTCAAGCACGGAAAGTCATCCGTCCAATCACAGCACAGGAAAATCCAACAACCATCCTATCGCAACAGAGGGCACCCAGAGGTCCTAAGGTACCTCTTCTCATCTCCAGTGCATTGGCATCCATGCCATCGGTGCAAGCCCGGGACATATGCCAACTTTCCATCAATCGCAGCCAAAGACATGCCTGCACCCCACCAATCAAAGGCAGTTCTGAAGCCACCCAATGGGAGAGAGTCACACACACACTCCTACCTGCACTTGGGTTTGTTTTGCAAAAGCAAATCTGATTGGGCGTGGGCATATGTGCACGCCTGCAATTGGATGGCCTCAGGACTGTGTTTTGGGAGCTTTATACTGTCGGGAGAAATGAATGAGCAGAGATTCTCCTTTCCATTGGCAAAGGCGTGTGCGTCTGCGGCAGGGCCAGCTCCTTCCCTGCTGCCCACCACTGTGCTCTGGAGGGGCATAGTGCAGAGCTTAGTGATCGCAGTCATGTTTTCTCACTGCATGGTGTCTGTGCCAAAGCAGGCGCTGAGGATGCTATGCGCTTGCCACTGCTCATGGCTGGTGTGCTGACAGGGGCGGTTGCTACTGATCTAGACCGGAGCTCCGTCCCTCCTGGGTTTTGTTCCCAGTGGAGGAGCCTGAAGGGCGAGGCAGGGTGTGATGGTGCGTTGAGGTTTTCCCGTCTCCTGCACCCCCGTAGTGGCATGGACAGACTCCACCAGCCAGTAGAAAAGAGGGAGCTTATTGCTCCTCCAGGATACAGCACAGCATAGATGTAATCTGGTTACGGGGCAGGCGTAGGGTGCCTCAGCCCCCCTTGAGATACAGGGCAGGCCTAGGATGCCTCAGCCCCCCTTGAGATGGGTAGCCTGGGTCCCTAAATCCCAGCCCGTTGCCTAGGCTGCTTCCTCCATGATACCAGCCAGAAACCTAACTCACTCACTTCCAGCCCTGCCCCCAGCCAGGGCTCCAATCCCCTTCTTCCTATTGTTCCACTCCCTCTGAGATAACTGGTCAGACAGGTTCAAAGCCCCCTTGCATAATGACTCATCCCCTGCCCTGCTGGGCTGTGCTACAGACAGCAGCCAGTGGAGGTCACTCACAACCCACTGCCCAGCATAGCAACCAGCAAGGTACCCCCCACTACGTCACACAGGGGAAGCAAAGAAGTCACACTTATATAAACTCTTAGCGATGGGCCAATGCCCCTGAGTGGAATCTCCCCTCGTTCTGATTTTGTACCATTGATCTCAGTGTCGGGGGGAGTTTTGCCTGGACAGAAGCTGTATGATGATTTCAGGGGGTGCCAAATATACACAGGGCAAGCTATTGCTTCACAAAATGTGTGGTGTGCCCCTGAAGAGATTGCGGGGGGGACACAGGCCTCTTGGTTGGTCTCCAGACTGTTAGCTTTTATTACAAGGAACGAGGGAATTGCTCACTGTTCCAGTTTCAGGGAAATCCTTTTGATTGTGACCCACGTGTAACTGAGGCGGCACTGCCTGCCGGAGTCTGCAGAGAGCCTGAAACAGTAGCTCTTTGGTGTGTGTCGCCCTGTGCATTTCACTGGGCGCTAACGCAGACAGTAATGACGCATGAAATGTCAGCGTTAACTGTTAAACTTCAGGGCCTAAGGCTTGGCGCACAATGGGGTGTAGGGGACTCAGCTTGTAAAAGTTTGGGGTGGGTTTCTGGTCTCACTGCTGTCATTACAACAGGCCCGGGGGTCCATGAGCAGCGGGAATGCCAGGAGGGGGAAGACTTTGCCTTCCCAAATCACTAGCCTGGCCCCGTCCACCCCTCTCCCAGGATGTCTACTGTAGGCGTACTGGGGGCGGAGTGTTGCTGCGCCCAAGCACCCGCTCTCCCTGTGTTCCGGGCCGGGAAAGCTTGGGCTGTGTGCAGCCCACCCTCCCCATGATGGGGGCATGGCCTGAGCAGAAGGGGCAAGGTTGGGGGCTTGTCTTCCCCAGCCCTACCTTCCCCAGCTGCCCATGAGGGATGGGGTTGGTGGGGGACTTGGGTGCCATTCGCTTGCAGCTCCGCTTTGTTCCCACCTGGAGGTCACATGGCAGACTATGGCTTGGAACCTGCTCTCACATTCTCTGGTGCAAACCAGGAGTAGCCCTGTTGGCTGGAATGCAGCCAAGCTGCTGAGAGTGGAGCACAGCAGGTGCTGGTGCTGGGGAATTCCAGGAGACAGTTGCCCTCACCTGGCTCCCCCGTTAGAGATGCGCCTGGATCCATGTTGTAGAGGGAGTGTGGATCCAGGTCTGTAGCTGGTGGCTTTGGCTCGCTGCTGGGACAGACGTGTCACGTGAAGGCTAACCAGCCACCCAGCATCTGCCATGCCAGAGGAGACCCTGCTAGCCCCCCATGGTCATGCTCTGCCACTGACCTCCTGGCCAAGGGAGTGGACTTTCCGCAGCTCCCTGATGTGTCCAGTTCAGCCACACTAGGGGCAAAGGCCTTTTTTTGTGTGCTCTAGAAGGGAGAGGCTTCCTGGGAGGCCGGGTTAGCTCAGGGAGACCTGTGTTGAGTGCCCAGCTCCGACACCAATTCACTGTGTAGCTTTGGGTGCATCCCAGGTCTGCTCCATGCCTCAGTTTCCCAGCACTTATATACACAGCAGTTTTCATCCCATAATCTCACAGCATTGCATAACACTGCCTCAGCCTGCTCCCCTGTACACTTTAGGGTAAGTCATCTAGACTGTTTCATAATCAGTGTACTGGCTCTTTGCATTCTGGGCTAGGCAGGCGCCACCTTTGCCAGTACCTGTGAGCTGGCCATATTTGTCACTGGCATCCCTGGAGCTACCCTGGGCTGAATTCAGCCCAATAGGGTTGGGGGGTGTTTCCAATTAAATTAGAATCCACTTGCTCCAGCAGCTCCTGTAATGGACAGGAGGAGTTCTGGCCAGCACCCGGTGACTAAGGGGGGGGTTGGTACAGGGCCAGAAGAACCAATCAAGACAGAGGGATAAAATTTGAATTGTGTAAGGTACCTTGCCTGCTCAGGGTCAGAGGAACCAATCAAGATAGAGGGATAAAATTTGAATTGTGTAAGGTACTTTGCCTGCTTTCTTTGTGGGGGACAGTTAAACCAGGTGTTGAGAGAGACAGAATGATTGAAACCCAGGCAGGACTACCATGCCTCCAAGGAATCTGGGGCATGAAAATGGACTGAACCAAGAGAAGATCGTGAGTAAATAAAGGGGGGGAAGTGAATCTAGTTGTGATCAGGTTATTTTCTTTATTCTGTGGTTTGATTTGATCTGCTCTGTGTGACTCTATGCCTCCCCTCCCCATGTACCATCTAAGAATTGTTCCCGGAGATATTCTGTGTTTTAATTTGTTTTCCTTAGTTGCGCTGTAACATCTAGCAACCAAGTCTGCTTTCTCAAGAATATCTTTTGTTTTGTAAAAAAAATCACTTTTTAAAGGTTATTTGATTCATGGGTCCTGGAAAGTACAGGAGGTCTGTCTGTGTGTGTGCATGTGCATGCCTCAGACTGAGGGGTCAACTACCAGAGACTGCAGCTTGTTTTTCTTTTCTTTTCTTTTTTTCAAGCTTTCTTGTGGCAAAAGAGCTTGGGGCCCCCCTGGGGGTAGGTTAAGTGTTCACCCCTGATTTCAGGGATAAAATCACTTGATGGTGGCAGCTACCCACCCCCAAAGTCAGTGAATCTGTGACTCTGGGGGAGTTTTTATCACCAGAGCCTGTAGAGGCAAGGGATATTTAAAGTCTTTATGGGCTCCCACCTTCAGCACTCAGAGTGCCAGAGTGGGGAACAGGCCGGACAGCTCTGGAAAGCAGCAGACTCCAGGCTGAGGCAAGTTCCCCTCTGAGCCCAGGAGGGCTTCGAGGCAGCTGACAGGCACGCCCCATCTCCTCATTGCTAACAAGGCTGGAAGAAAGGCGTGGAGCCCGGGTGCAGGAGTTCCAACCGTCCGGCCTGCCGTGGCTGAACTGCAAGCCCACAGGAGGGCCGCTGAGGGAGTGAATCAGGCAGTAAATTGTGCCTGGCGACTGACTGACTTGCAGGTGCCCAGCCTGGACAGGAGTGAGGAAGAGGAGGCCCCGGGGCAGGGAGAGAGCTGGAGCTTAGTGGAGCTGATGGGAATCTTTATTCTGGGACAGCCGGCTCCTAATGAAGGGCAGGTTGGCCTTGGGCTTACGGTGACCCTGGGCCTGATGACCATTTGGGGTCACAGACCTGCCTGTGGAACTGGCCTCGGTTCTGGGCTTCATAAAGGCCCTGACTCTACGTGTGCTACATGCGCTCTGGGGTTGGAGCCCCCATGGGGAAAAATAACGGCAGCTCGGCACTGCTCAGCTGATTGGCAGGAGGGGGAGGGGCAGTGCCTGAGGGCAGAGCAGGAGCGGGAAGAGACAGGACAAGGATGGGGCCTTGGGAAAGGGGGGGGGGGCCTCAGGCAGAGCAGCTTGGAGCACCCACCTGGAGACAAGAAAGTCGGTGCTTCCTTCGGCTCTAACAGGACAATGGTGTTTCTGTCATTTGGCTGCAAGCTCCTGTGTGTATGTGCAGCACCGGCATGCAGGCCCCTGCCTCTAGGAGCCTCTGCAATGCAAATAATACAGGGTGGCAACTCCGCCTGCAGACCACAGCAGCTGAGCCTGCCCCATATATTTGGCACAAAAATAATCATCTGGCATCTTTCTCTGTCTGGAGAAGGTGGCAGAGACTGACCAAGGGGGTGCGTGGGAATGAGACCTGGCCAAAGGGCTAAGAATCACTAATAATGCCTCGTTGTGCTCTAGCACTTTTAATCAGCAGCTCTCCAGGCATGTTACACAGGGCCTCAGTTTCACCCTCCTCATTTTACAGATGGGGAAACCGAGGCACAGAAACTTGTCCTCAAAATCACCTAGTAGTGGAACCAGGATTAGAACCCAAGTCTCTTGGGTACTTAGCCTGCACATTACCTACTAGGTCACACTGCCTTGCTTGTGGCATTGCCCTTTAGGCCAGTGAGCCCTCTAACCGTTTTTGCGTCTTGTGGCCGTGAGTTCCACAGCCCAGGTCTGGCTCCGCTGAACATTCCGTCTGCCCCCTTTGGTCTAGACGCTCAGTCTAAAGGGAGGGCTCGGAGGAGCTGAGGGAAGCCCACCGCCTGTGCTTTACAAACCCCACCCCTGGAAAGGATGTACAATTTTGGCACAATCCCTCAGGTCCAGATTCAGGGATTTTATGGCCAGAAAGGACCATTACAAGCATGTAGTCTGACCCACTTAGTGCCGGCCAGAGACCCCCCAGCGATCCCTGCTCAGTTGCTGTCTGTCTCGGGGCTGTCTGCAGTGCCCGGCACCAGGATTTCAAAGCCATGCCTGCCCAGTATATGTCTGACGTTTCCATTAACCCAGGGCTTTTCTCTGCTTTCCCAGGATGCCTTACTGAGTCTGGGCTCCGTGATTGATGTCACCTGCCTCCGAGAAGCCATCAAAGATGCCATCGTGTCTGTGCTCCCCAAAGTGGTACGTATAGAGGCGGGTTCTGGGTAGGGCGGGATGCTCTGGCACTGCGGCGTGATCCTGAGGGCGGGGGTGCTGGCGTGGTTGGGTTCTAACTCCCACTGTGCTACTGACTTCCCTTGAGGCCTTGGGCAAGTCACTGGGTTGCTCCATGCCTCAGTTTCCCTGTCAGTATCACAGCCTTAGCAGAACACGGCACCAAGTATGACACAGGCTGCAGTCCTCTGTGCCCGGGAGGGACAGATCGAAACACTTGGGATGCCTCTCTGACATTTAACCTAGGCCTGAGCCATCAGAAATCACAGAGAAGAGGGGTCTGTCTGGACAGGACCTCATGAGTTGTCTACTCTGTGCCCTGGCCCCATTGCAGGACATGAGCAGTGCTTGCCCTGCCTGATATTTTGCCAGTGATGTGAGGAAGGTGGGGGGCAGGATTTCTTGTTCTGAATGTGCAAAGCAGACAGGAGGGCAGGGGAGATGGGCCCTCAAGCAGAGAGCCAGGCCTCAGCCCTGGTCGTTCAGGCTGGCACTGGTGTCCTGTCCCCCAAGGTGAGGTCTATATCCCCATTGGACAATGGGGCCAGGATCTGACCTCGGTGCCCTTCTGCCAGGGCCTTGAGGCGCTCACAGAACCGGAGCTGGCTGCGTGCTCGGGGGGGTAATGCGTTCCCATGCTGTGGGCGCCAGGCCGCAGCCATGTTGGGACGGGGCCGTCCATTCTAGAACAAGAAAACTCCAGGGGCAACCCAACGGGGGACACAGGCCCTGGAGAGAGCCATGCTGTTGTCATGCCGACAGGCAGAACCCAACGAGGGACCTCTTGAGCTCAGTGCAGGGGCCTGTTGAGCTAAAAGCCACTGGCGCTCAGCTCAGGCTGCACAGCAAACGCCTTCTCTCTGTCTGCAAGTGGTGTCAGTGCCACTCCAGGGGACAGTGCCCCACGCCCAGCTGGTGTGGGTTACACTGTGTCTTGGGGTGCCGGCTGTTAGCATCCGAGGCCTGGGTCCCCACTCACTTGCTCTGCCTGCAAAAGGGGGCCCTGCCTGCATGGGGACTTGCCAGTCCTCAGGGCTGCGCTGCACTCCACAGCTTGCCCCCCAATTTGTTTCCATCCGATCCAGTGCTGCAGTGAGATCCCCTCCCCGAGCGGCTGAGTTCAGTGCAGCACCTGTGCGTGCCCTGTGCCAGCTCTCCCGTGGCTGTCCCACCCCACCCCGTTCCCTGGGACCATGTGTACACGGCACCGCCAGGGGTCACAGAGACCAGAAGCACCCCACCCTTTCACCCATTTGCCAATGGCCCAGCCCGGCAGCACACCTAGCAGCCCCCCTCATTGCGTGCGGCTGCCCAGCCACCACTGTGCACCCTCGGCAGGAGGAGCAGCTCAGTTGCTCCCGCTGTGGTCCAGGCTTTGTTGTGCTGGGTGAACCCCCAGCGGGAGCCAGCCCCTGCCTGAAGAATGCACAATCTAGACAGACCAAAAGCAGCCTACAAATCATTTGTCCGCAGCAGAGATGGGACTAGAACCTAGCACCCCTCACACTCAAGGTAGAGCGACCCTGCCTGTAGTGCCCCCCACCTTGGGGGAAGTACTCTCTTCTGCTTCTGCTGTGCGGCAGCTGCTCAGAGGCCCCACCTGCCTTCTAGACCGTGGCGGGGACGGGAGAGGCCAGTTCAGAGCCTGCTCGCTGGTTTCTGTCCCGGCTCTATGTTAGCTGAGCCTGCGACCCCCTTTAATTTCCTGCCTCTGCCAGCCACTGGGGATAAAGCACCCAGCTGCTGTTGTCCTCACGTCGTTTGCAGCCTGAAATGGTTCCTGGCCTGACATGGCTAATCGCATTCTCCCGCCTGCTCGCCTGAGCGCCCAGTGGGCCACTGCGAAATCCCCTCCGCTCCCGGAGGCCATTGTGTTCCTAATCTCCCGGCATTATGGCCTTAGTGGCGGGGATGATCCCTGTGTGTTCTCCGCGCCGCGCTTTGTCTCTTAGCCCCGGTAACGGCAGCGCATTCTGCTCTAGCAGGAGTGGGGGGCATGGGGCTGGAGGGGAGGGAGCCTCTCTCCAAGGGCAGCAGATAATGCGCAACACGCTGGAGCTGCTGCAGTTCTTCACCTGGGCAGCCCCACTTGAGAGTCCTGTGAGTGTGAGTCACGCTGAAGGCCCAGGTAAGGGGCACAGCGGGGGACTAACCCAGAATCCTGCATGGGCAATGCCCTGGGGCATCATGCACCTGTTTTTCTGCAGGGGCGGGTGCTTATACTTAGCACTCGCTGGGGAGAGGGAAGCATTCTCATCCCATTCTCCATCGGGGAAACTGAGGCATGGGGGAGAGGTCTTGGGCAAGATCACAAAGCAGGGAATGGAGCTTTGCTCTCCTGAACCCCAGGCTGGCTTGAGCCACAAGACCAGACACCCTCTCTAAGGATTTCAGACCTCCGCTCTTTACACCCAGGCCCTCAACCGGCTTTGGAGCTGGATTTAAGTCGGGGGCATTGCGGTTTCATGCCTTCCAGCCCAGCAGCTGCCCAGCTGGCAGAGCTAATGCACCTCCCAGCAAGGGGGAAGGGAAAGCGATTCCCTGGTTAGCAGACCTGCCCCACACCAGGTTTTGGGACTCATTAGAACGCCAGTGCCCTGGTGAAGTCCAAGTGTGTCTGAATTCTGGGCCACAGACTCAGAGCCACCCTACTTGACGCCTGCTGGGGATCTGCCTTGCAATCCCACACGCTCTGGCTTAGGAGCTGGTTCTAACACTTCCAAGGGCAGGATGAGGTCCTGTCCTTAAGGGTGGGACCCCTGTGGGTATGTCTACACTACCCCGCTAGTTCGAACTAGTGGGGTAATGTATCAGAGGGGTAGCCGTGTTAATCTGAATCTGCAAAAGCGACGAGGAGTCCTGTGGCACCTTATAGACTAACTGAAGTGTAGGAGCATAAGCTTTCGTGGGCAAAGACCCACTTCGTCAGATGCATGTCTCATTTCACGAGGAGTAACGGTAGTTCGAACTAGGAAGCCTAGTTCGAACTACCTAGTTCGTGCCCCGTGTAGCCGCGCTGCACGGGGTTCGAAGCAGCGGGGATTTAAAAATGGCGGCTCCCCGCTTATGCTAATGAAGCCCGGGAAATTCAAATCCCGGGCTTCATTTGCAAGTGCGGTATGCCTACATTACCCTCCTAGTTCGAACTAGGAGGCTAGTGTAGACATACCCTGTGTCCTTTGCACGGGGCTGCCTGCTTTATTCATGTGCGGTATAGAAGCTCCAATAGCAGGGGTGGGCAAAGGGGCCTCTACAGGCCGGATCTGGCCCGTTGAGCTGATGGATCCAGCCCACGGCTGCCTGGCTGCTCCCACACCTCCAAGGGGTGGAGTTTCTCTCTAGCCGCCACGCGCCCATGGCAGGGTGGGGACAGGGGGAGAGACTTTGAGCTCCCCAACCCCACTTTCAGGCTCTGGTTGGCCGGGGGGGAACACAAGGTCTCCTCCCACTGCGGCATCTGAAGGGAACCCCCAGCTGTTTTAAAACAGCTGGTGATTCTCGGGGGTGGGGGCGCAAAGACTTCATGTGGGGAAGGAGCTCGAGAAGTCTCCTGGCCCCGCCCCTTCCACCTGAGGCCCTGCTCCTTCCGGGGAGGCCCGGGGCCACTTCCGAAATTCATGAAGTGGCCCCCTTTTAAAAATTGTTGCCCACCCCCGAACAATAGGGTGTCACAGAACCCCACTAAGATCCTGCTCATGTTAGCACCGGTGTCACTGACAACGGTCCCCATTGACAACGGCCGATTTGGACCAGTGTTTCTAAGAGCGGGCTCGGGCCCTGCTCTCCACCCCTGAGCAAAGGGAGCCCGACGTGGCCCCTTCTGCTTTATCCATCAGCAGTGGCGGAAAGGGCGGATTGCGCAGCCTGATGGAATGTATTCTTTGCATGCCTTTGCTGCGGTGTCAGCAATTGAATCTGTTTTCACACAATACAATTATTCCAGTGAACGGTTAGCAAGGGGCCTGTCGAGAGCGGGGCTTTTTTTTTAATTAGTTCTTTTCAGTTGCCTGGGGTGTGAGCACACATTACTCCTTTGTTAACCAGCGCTCCCTTTCTCACGACGATAATGCAACTCGTTCGCCGGCGCCTTGCTGCATAGGAAACGAGGGATAATTGACAGTGGTTTTAAAATCAAATAATGGGGGTGTATTTACACCAGGCCCATGGTCCATGACTTGTTTGTATAGCCCAGGTGCTGTAATATGCACACGTCGAGGATAATAACCTACTACTGCTGTCAGACTATGTGGGTGTTCCTTTGCCACAACTGGTAGAGGTCCGTGGTTTGGTGCTGGTGGCCCCACATTCAAGCCCTCAAAAAGCTACGGTTGAAATTGGCCCAGGTTCTCTTTGCTTGTAAAGAAGTCAGAGGAAAGCTGGGTGCTCTGTTGCCCTTTCCCCTCAGGATCTGCCTTAAACAGACCTACCCACCAACAACCTCTGCGATGGCTGTTGAGCATTTCCCACAAAGAAAAACATCCCATGCCGGCATGCTGCCTCAGTTTCCCTGTCCAACTCAGCCCTGCTCTACCTCCCTCCGCTGCTGTGAAACTGAATTACTGCTTGTAACAATCAGGCTTTGTGATCCAGATTCCCAGCCCTGTCACCTATCCACTAGGCCACACTGCCTCTCAGAGCCCATGGGAAATCAGCTCGGGGACATATTAGTATGTCTTTACTTGTCCGCCCAATGCACTAGCCCTCACTGAGTAACCATGTTGTCTTATTGCTTAGCCCCCAATCTTCCTCCCTCCCTTCCTCGTCCTCCCTCCTGGGGTCTTATCTCCCTTTTCCACCGTGCTTGTCTTGAGGCTGTACATTGTGCATTGCAAGGCATCTGCCATGCTCTGGAGCTCCGCAAGACCTGCATGGAGCTGAGCCATGACCCCGGATCCATCCTGGAGTCAGGCTGGTTCCAGTTGCTCCTGTCCTTGATTGGCCGCTGGATGCAGGGGTGACCGGCCATG